GATGACACTTGCAAGAAACACTTGAGATTAAAGGAGCATGGCGCCTTAATTGCAACAACAATATCTCAAATTGCTACACAGAATTAGGCAGCATGGATACCGACTAAGGAAGACATAAATGAAATAGAAAAGTATAGATTAATTGGGTAATTCTGTACAGATATATTCATGGTAAGAATGGGAAGCGGAGGAATATATAAAAGCCGCAAGCTCAAGAACAACTCTAGCCTTAGCAGAAAAGGCAGAAAAAAATTGCAAGTACTGGAGCAATATATGGACATCTCAACCAGCTAGTAGTAGGTAACAGGGAGCAAGCGACCAAAGACACGTCACTTCGAAGGGAAGACTTCTGCACAAGAGGGAAACTGTTATTAGTATATGGAAAACAGGAAGATGATCATGAGTGAAAAGTTGATGCACAAGATGAAGAATGAGGTTACTTTCAGCAACTGGCACTACATAAACGCATGAATTGATGTGCTAGAGGAACCAGAATACGACTCAGGAATGGAAAGTGAAAAATAGAGAATGAAAACAAGAAGACACCAAAAACCAAGGATAAACAAAATGTGGACAAGAGAAAAATATCACTGATGTCCGCTACATGGTTCCATGAGCAGAAGGTCAATGGAATGTTGGTCCTCATCAAGCTCAGATCTCACAAAATGCTAAATCGCCACTTTTGCAGTGATTTAATAATTTTACATTATTGTTATCATCATTACAGATAATACAAGCATATTGTTTTATATCAATTCTTATCTAAGAAGGATAGAACGATCTTTAAGAATAAAAGAGCGCTCTTAAGGTCTTCAGTAACACTCTCCGATGGTAAATAGTTGGCTGCCACTGTTAGTTCAATAATCTTAATTCAGGATATAATGCATTCCTAACTTGTCACTTGTACCTCTACTAACAAATTATTTCCTTTCCGCAAATACACCACCTACCTACAAATATATATTATGTCCAAACTTTTTTGTTGCATTAATCCGTACGCTTCCCACACTGTAGGTATACAGTCTAATATCTGTACCAAACATATTCTTCACCAAAATTGTTCACATTGTAACTAAAGGGTCTTAGTAAACAAAGCAGTTAAACTTCACTACACTGACTGGATCAGAGGCAAACCCTCGACAGGGACTCAATAGCAGAGAATGGCTCCAAGTGAGCACCCTAACGAGAAAATTGTAATAGATGTAGAAGCCAGGACAAGTGTCAGATATGTAACAAGTGAAATATAGAAATATGATTATATATATCACTATACGTTCATGCATCAGACACACTATTCCTCTTTTAACTTCTCTTTTCCTCCTAAATCACCCAAAAGCCTCCAATGAACATTTAAGTTTCAAAACTGCATAGCACTAACAGTAGCAGCTCATCAAACTTTTGCTACGACTCCACCCATGCTTAATTCACCTTGTTCCCACTCAGAAGAAGCTTGCATCAAAACAAACTACGACAAAGTTAACAGTTAATAAACAAAAGTTTCCAAAGTATCTTAGAATAGGACCAACTGACAAACACAGACTAGTTCACTCAATTTTGAAGTAGCAGCCCTTGAAGCCAAAAGCATCACCATTTCAGCTCAAGTTCCCAAAGGTGCCTTTAGTGGGTAGCAATTACAGTTTATTACACCAACCAAGGATTACTAGTGACTGCCTTCCTCAATAGATGAATCAAAAAGTTTTTGTCGAAGAAGACTTTATCATTCCTTATCGGAAATTTAGTACAAAATAAGCCAAATATTCATGGAACGCTACCTCATAGCTTGATATTAAAATCTAAATAGAGGTTTGATGAAATTCTCTGGAGATAGCAACCATGGACTTTGGAATATTGAAAGTGGAGAAAAGAGGAAAAACTTATAACTTTTATGGAGCTAAATATGTCAAGAAATACATTGAATAGTACCTCGCTTGAAGTTATAATCCAAATGGAGGTCTGACCTTATCGAGCAAGAATCAGCCCATGGATTTTAGAATACTGAGAGTGAAGAAAGGACGAAGATATCCACAATAAGAAATTGCAATCATCTCTTGTTGTAGTAAGTTGTCCGATTAACGGTGCGACACCATCGTCATCAGAAAAAAAGTTGCCAAAGAGAGTCAAAGAAAGAGACCAAATGCCTAAACTCCAGAAATAGTTACATTATGATGGATTTCCTCAAATTTCCCAAATGTGGCCAAAGAACATAGTATTAGTTTGATGCCAAATAAAGAGCGAACACAACCATTTGTCTGCCCACCAAAGATTCTAACTAGCCATTCTCAGGAGTCAAAGATGTATCTTCCATGGTCTGATCCTTTAAGGAACATCTGTATTCCTCATTGGTGCATGGACGAAGAGCCCAAGCTAAAAATTAGTTATTTATGTCTAAATGGGATTCTTTACCAGCATTCTACCCAAGGATTGGGGAGTATCCATGTCTCGTATCTCAACTGAAGGGTCTGAATTTTCTGAAAATATATTAACCTCTTTTTGTTCTTTCTTTCTTTTTGAGATAAAAAGGCTAGATAAATCTGGGTTTGGTTCCCAATTGTTTTTTTTTTATGAAGTAAGGTGTTTCATTAAAGGCATCAAGAAGATGCTATAAAGTTACAATGTTTAAGTCCTTGGTTAACTCTATAAGACAAAAAACCTATATAGCTATGAGTTAACCAAGACCAAAAACCAAAAAGAATGACTATTAAGCCATATTAAGAGAGCCAATAAAATCTAAGAGGGGAATAACATCATTTACAGGGGAAAGGTTACTCCAACTAAACAGGTTCATTAGACACTTAGATTTCAGAAGGCTTGTGGAAGTTGAGATGCCTTCAAAACACCTGCTGGTTCCCAATTGTGCTACTCCATGCTGACAAATATGGGTGGTCTATGAAAGAGAGCTGCTTCAGTTCTCCTTCATTAAGCTACTCAAAATCGACCAACAAACGTGTGTGTTGCCAACTTGCCATTGCAATTACTTGTGCCGTTTCAATCTTGAACTTGCATATTACAAGCTTAATTGATTTAAGCCCCAAGGGAAGTTCTTTATCAAATTTTTGACTAGAGAAAAGTACTCCTAGTGAACTAAACCTTAATCACAACTAATTGGTACCGCCTACAAGGATTTTCTTACATTCTACTGTTGTTCGCACCGACTCCAAAGTCTGGACTTGAAGAAATTGTAGGTCTTCCGAGACAACTTCCTTCAATATAAGAAATGACCACCGACTCCAAAGTCTGGACTGGAAGAAATTGTAGGTCTTCCAAGACAACTTCCTTCAATATAAGAAATGACCAAACCATCCCAATTGACTTCCCTCATTTTATCCAAGCACAATTTGGTCATTTCTAATCTTGTATGACCACACTTCCATCTTAACATTCGCATTTCTGCGACACTCATTTTTTGTGGATATGCTGGACTTTAGAGGCCTGTTACTCCCATAACTTTGCCAATCCTACATGATTCTATGTCTAACATCTTCATCCATCATACAGTTCTATGGGAACATCGAACCTAGATATCTGAAGTGCTTGCTTTTATGCACCACTATCCCATCCTATCACATCTTAGTTTCACTCTTCTTGTGCTAGCTAAACTTGTAGTGCATATATTCAGTCTTACTTATTAGAACTCTTGTTCTCTAGGGTGCTTCTCCATAGTTCAAGCTTCAGGGTAAAACTTTTGCTAGCTTTGTCAAATTAACACAACATTGTCTGCAAATAGCTTAGACCACGGGAAATAACTAGGGCAAAGAAGTACAGGGTCAATGCCAAACTCTCGTCTAAACCCATCATATGAGCAACTTCTTTGTATCTCCAGCTACTATTCTCGCGCTAGTGACAACTACCTTATATAGAACTTTATAGCATTTATGTATGTAATATGAATTCTTTTCTATAGGCAACTGCAAACAGGAAAAGAGTGTATAGTGAGTTGTCATAGAGGAGCAGAATAGGATGAGATGAACAGATTATTCTCAAATCCTTCTCAAAAAGCTGCAATAGAGCTAGGAATGGCAGGCGGTGCGGTGTGGTGCGGGTGCGGGGCGGGTTCTGTCTGAACCCGCGAAATTTAAACCCGCCCCGCCCCACCCCGCATAGGATTTAAACCCGCATTCACTCGCCCCGCACTCCATCCGCGTTCACCCGCCCCGCCCCGCACCCGCAATTTTTTTTATTTATAAAAATTCTTTTTTTTTAGAAAGCTAAACTTAAATCTAACTTTTTTAACAAAACAATTAATTACATCCAAAATTGAATTTATTGTTGCTACAACGTGTGCTTGTAAATCTGATCTTTTTAATAAGAAGAAATGAAAATAGAAGCCAGCTGACGATGTAAAAAGCACAATGAGAACACGTGAAATTTTAATTAAGAAAAGAGAATAAAGTGAAATTTTCTTGAAAGGAAAAACTTAAAGATAAGTAAAGAAGCTACATCTCTTTTATTAGTATTATTATTGATATAAAAAATATCTAACCAAAATATATATGCAAGTAGGAAAATTGTAAAACAAGTATGATGGATCTGTTAGAGTAATTTGCTTTAAAAAATAGCACCATTAAAAATAATAAAGTTACTAAAATGCATTTTTGTAAATGCATAATTTTATGAACGAAAATTTCTATTACATGAACTACATATAATTCAAATAGAAGAAAAGACTTTATAAAGATCTCTTTATTAGTTTAAAACATTAAATCCCCACCCGCACCCGCACCCGCACCCGCCCCGCATTTTTTTTAAATTTAAAAATTGAACCCGCCCCGCAACCGCAAAATCACAAACCCGCCCCGCCCCGCTGACGTTCAAACCCGCACCGTCCCGCACCCGCACCGCCCCATTGCCATCCCTAAATGGAGCAGCTTGATTTTTCATGTTACTATGTATATCATTACTAGCATGACATAAGTGTACAGCAATAGAAATAACATGCCAGATTGGAATAATCTGTATCCTGGATAATAAATAATAAGCAAATGATAAACGAGTTCACATACCTCTTTATTCTCCTCCCCAGTCTATTAACTCGTTGCGTGGTGCATACAGCTTTGCCATTCGTTCCTCAGCTTCGGTATCATTTACTACACCTCGGCATCTTGGGAAGCCACAATAACACGCAAGTTGTTCATCGATAGAAAAGAATCTGCAACGTGAACAAATACAATTTAACACACCAGAGATGGGAGTGAGAAAATAATAGAGCGAGATGATGGAAAAACCTGTAATCATATGTCAACTCTTCCCATTGTTTAATATCTCGTTTGGCAAATATGATTATATGTTGATCGTTATTGACACTTATAACTCTTGAATAGCAATTTGGCTGCAAAAAAAATGAAAGTTGTGAACTGCAGCTCAATTACAGAATGTCTTCTTAAGTACTAGCAATCAAAACTCCACTACATTCTCCATTGCAGCAGTCTTTCCAAATAAATACTGACTAGCCAATGAAACATATATTTGGATCATGACGAGGAATCTGGGTGTGTTTACCGATGATACATTATGCTTAGATCTGGCTCCATAACAACATAAAGTAACAACTGACAAGTCAGGTAAAGGCTTATTCACCAATTCACTTGAGATTCTCATGCCATCCCAAAGGTGCTAATAAGAAGTGCTCTCCAAAACACAAGAGGATAGCTTAAACTTAACAGATAAAAGTTGCTTGCCGGTATAATCAAAAAGTAACCTTTCAAGAGAAATTATTCTATCCCTCCCAGGGATCCAAGGTCACAACAAATCCTGAAACCGTCAAAAGATGGATCTATATTTAGATGTTACAAACATGGAGACCCAACAGGAGTTCTCTTGAGGGCGGTAAGCTCCAATTAGACTGTTCAACTTTGTTTATACATAAGCATCTGCTCATATGTAATCTAACAGAAGAGAATATGTTGTAAAGCATATATTAATAAAGATGTTTCAATAGCACACCAATTATAATTTGTCCACTCAATCAAAAAAGACCAGTTCCACAAGTATATTTTCAGACCCATGTTTATGGCGATAAACACATGATGGTGTCTTTGTTCATGTAATGTGGGTGTTCTCCATCTAGTGAGGAAAGAAACATTTACCCCCAAGAGAATAAAACCATTAAAGGAACAGGGAAATAGGTAAAGGAGGATTTTGCATACTTCACATGAATGATTGATCAAATGTGCAATGCTTCCAGCCCTTGTTGCATCTATAACACGCTCATCATCAATTCGAAACATGTATGTTCCAGCACCCTGAGAGTAGAAATCATGTTATTATTTGGTGAAACAATATAATTACCACCAATGGAAGCAGCTTTCATCCTCCATCAAGCCAGTGCACGAAAATGGAACGGCCAAAATCAAAAAGGGATATGCTTATGAAGTACATAGGTATCTATTCATCAAAAAAAGAAGCTCATAGGTTTCTAATTTCTTCCAATAGATACTCCAACTACTACGTCTTAAGCATTGAGCTTGACCAGAACAAGCAACATGATCACGAAGAATTCACTTCTTGTGACCAAATGTCCTATGCAGAGCAATGCAACTTAGGGATTTTACTTTCGCAAGTACATTTTTCAAGCCTTACTTGGTAATAAGTTTATTTATGGATTACCCCCCCCCCCCCTCCCCTGCTGCAGGTATTCGTGGAATGTGACCCTTACTTCTGAAACGAGCATGAACCCACATGGATTGCAGAGCACTTCAAAAAAGAATATCAGGTCAACTGACATAAAAAAATACACATGTTTTGGTTAAAAATATGCTTAGCATACATTAATAACTCTCAATCTGCTTCTACTGAATGCAAATGTTCCTTGCTTCCATGTAAAAGGGGGAAATAAAAATTGGCCATGTAAACATAAAGAAAGATATTAAGAAACGTGTAGCCTATCTGTAGCTAAAGAAATGGAGAAGAAGCATTTTCAGAGATTTGCAGCCATCAATTGGACTTCCGCCAAGCACTCCCTATAATGGCCCACTAGTAGCGAGGGTACTAGGAATCCGGGTATTTGGAGCCTTGAAGGTGTAGCAGAGCACACATTGTGTTTTCTGGCTTACACTTTTTGGAAGTGATAAAGATTACATCTCTCTCCAACCAATGTTCAAAACTATATCTTCAATAACCAAACAATGAAAAAAAATAACTACTACCATGCAAATCAAAAAGATGACCATTTGGAAACCACAAGTATGACCAAGCAACATGTAAACATCCTAAACAATGACATAGTTCTTACCACCAGTGAGTTGTAAATAAGGTGCTCCCTTCGGTCAGCAATAGGAGGTCTAACAAGTTCTCCAGTGTACTCAATTACCTATTAAGCAAAGGAATTGTCAGTCCTTGGTATTGAAACCTTCCAACAAAAGAATACGCATGAATATTTATGTAGCTACTTTCTCTCAAATCAAATCACAGTAATAAAGAAAGGGACAAATTACCATGTCCCCCGCTTTATGAGGAAGCTTGGTAAAGATGCCAAATCCATGTATTCCGGATTTCCCTGGAGGCAAAGACAATCTCAAGAATAAATTTATTGCTACTTGTAAGAGAGGGGGGAAGTGGTGATACAAGAACACGAAGGAGCTCAAAGTAGCACCAGCCAGCAAAATAATCTAGTCAGGGGATAGCAAGAATATTCAAAGGGGTCCATTTTTGGCTTTATTCGATCAGTTGCTCTATTCCCAACATGAACAATAACACGAGAAAACACCCAAACAATGGAGCACACAATAGAGGACAAGAATAAGATTGCAGGTGTATACACTATACAGCACACATCCAGATAAGAAAATTTCAAATTTGCTTCAGATAGTGAAGGCATACAGAATATTCAGCTTACCAAATGCCAGCCTTTTTCTAAAGGTTTCTTTCATGTAGTTGTATTTCTCAACCATGGAAAGTATGCTCCTTGACACATCAAGCAACGAACACTTTAGCTTTTGAAGGTCAATGGTGTATTTGGAACCAGCAAATGAGGAAGATGATGTATCACTCAATTGCTCATGTTGGCTGTGGCCACCAACCAAATATGGCCTATTTTCAACATACAAGCGCTTCAATGATGCAGCTGTAAGGACTTCAGGTTCTTTTCTTCCTCTTCTTCCAAAATAATTGTAAGGCTCTATTCATAACGGACAAAAATCAGGAATCATAAAATGCACTGGTAAACAGTTGCACACAGAGAATAGTAGCAAAAGATGCCATCAATATAAAGCATTAACCAAAATCATTTCAGGAAACAAAAGATAATGGAATAACAGATCTGAGACACATAAATAGTAATGGAGAATAAGAATAGCATACCACTGCGAGCACATCCAGAAGGATTTGGTGGAGGAGTATAATCTGAATGTTCACAAGCTTTTTGTGCAACCCACTCATCAACAGCAGGACGCTCATTAGATACAGCTCTATGCTTCTTGCAGAAAGAAAGCAACCGAATGCACTGATCCTCCTCATCCTCATCCATAGGGATTAAATGCAATCTGTCTTCATCCTCAAGCTATAAAAACGTTAACATCAAAAGAAGATAGGTTAGCATAACATATAGGAGAAAAGGAGAAAGCGGAGAATCCATACATCACATAAAAAAAACTTCCATCACTATAATAAGAAGATATCACCTCGACACAGAAGCCAGCAGCTCGTGCACAAAGAGGATGATAAGCCACCCGACATGTATGGTTTGAGCACTACATGACAAAGTAAGGAGGGAAACAAACAAAGTAGTGAGTTGGACAAGCATATTTTAAAGTAGAACTCAATCAAGTGACATGGATGCTAGTGCCTCTCCCAAAAGATCAAATTTATAGTACACAGAAAAAAAAGGAAAAGAAAACTAATAAAGAAATCAAAGAAAGGAAGAAAAGATTAGAAAGGAAAGATAGTGCGAGAGGCCTGTAATGGAGCTAACAAATTCACTTTTGCACTTATTATCTTTTTGTACTACTTGCATCTTCTCGATGCCATCGGTGATATCATTTACTTCATCAAAAAGAAAGATAGCAGAGAGAAAGTGAGAGACGGCAGAACTTGTTAACAAAATGCAGAAAGAAGAAAAGAGATTCCACTTCGATAAAGATAAGAGGATCAGCCGATGATTATCAAATTAGAGCTAAACATTATATCTTAAACGTCACAATTAACAGAAGTCCTTTTCCTTTTTTTGAAATGATCAACTAACAGAACTCCTAAGGATTAGTTTTACAAAGCATCTGCAGAGGCAGACCAGAGTGTGTCACATCTTATCCAACCACAATCCGCTTCCAATCAGTTCGTAGACTACCAATTTGCATCGTTACTCTTTAATATTTGAGCCCATATATTTGAGGATGAAGAAACAGAACACAGAATAAAAAATTAAATATATACTTGTAATCTCCTAATAAATAGAAATGGGGTTAAGATATAAATCACAAGTTTACCTGAATGCAAGCTCCATAAGGAACACCACAAATACTACACAAGAGCTTCCAGCGGTCCTTTAAAAATAATAAACAGAAGAAGAGATTATCACAAAAAACTGCGACAAACCCTATCGATGTGGACGTCTTCCACAACAAAAAACTTCTCTTCCTTTCGATAATTAAGCAATGAAAATTAATTGCATAAATCAGCAAGATATGAGATAATGAGAGGTCTAAGTAAGTCTGGTAGATATTCTAAAAGTCCAATTAGGAAAATTAGTTGTTGCATCTACATATATATTGCAATGGATTAAAAGTGGAAAATGGTTTACAATCTCAATAAAATTTAGAAAAAAAAAATAGGAATAGATCTTAATGGCTAAAAATAGGAAAGTGGGGTATAGTGGAATTATCATTCAAGAAGAAGAAAATAGGGGCAATCTTGGGTTTAAACATAATTATGAGAGCCTAAAGTACTTATTCTACGGGGCTTGGGCATTTTTAGTAGTATAGCCACATGAAATATGAAAAAGTCATGGTTGAATACCTTTAAAAGTGCAAACAACAACAGAGGACAAGACTGGAGGGTTTTTAGCCAATGATACAAAGATAAATAGAACTGCTATAGTACCTTGCTGATCCTGCTCAAACCATCAATTGGCTCCATTCTCTTTATATCAGATAAGCAAGTTTCTGAATCATGATAGAGATAATCAGTGAATCAAAACACTTATCAACAACGATAATCAGTCAGTAATGTGACAAAAGGAAAAATAATAACCTGGTATCCAAATGGCACAAGCAAGATGAGCCCAACGTCCATCAGTAGTAGGCTTCATAGCACCACCTGTATGACATTTAAAATAAGACACAGAAGCAAGAAAAGAGCTGGGCAAATGAAGAGAAAACATGCAAGCAAAAGTAAGTACCGATAACAGGGCACAGGCAACAGGGGGGAGGGACTACTGGAGCTCCTGGACGACACAAATTGCATAACCAAAGTACTCCATCCATAGGCTCCCTCTCCCCATAGCATCTAGCGTGGACCTGAACAAATCATGACCAGCAAAGAACTTTAACCCGGAAGAATGGAATCAAATATTCAAGCCCAAATAAGAACAATGTATCACTCAAATATCAAAGTAAAAGAGAACATCAACCAACACAGAAAATTTGTAATAAAACGTTCTGGGCACCCATAGGGAGGAACAACAGAGTCAAATCAATAAGTAATGTCTGGAATGTTCTCGCATAATTCTAAGTTGAAACAATATGGAAGCATCATAAGTAAGTAGTCCTTTTTTACATAATGGTAAATAGTGACTTTGATCAATAACAAATAAAAAGGAAATTCCGTGCAGGTTTAACAGAAAACAAGCAGCTATCACATCCGCACGATAGATGTGTGGATAAGAGAAATAGCAAGCTGGAAACATTCAATTCTGAAGTAAAAAGGGAAAATAGATTACTATACTTTGTCTCAAAAAGAAGGAGAGACAGAGATTAGTATACTCACCATCATTCGGCATTTATCACACTGCAAAAATAAATTATTCTCATACTCCTGTAAAAGAAGAATCTACATCAGCATGATCCGAAGAAACTATATTGTTACTACTCAAAATTAGGGAAAGACAAAAATGATACAGATCATCAACATGCAACTTCACTAGTTGTCATATAACAACAACACCCAAATAAGCAAAACAGATATCTCAAAAATCACACACTAGCTGGAAGTAACAAAAGCATAAGAAATGGAAGCAGCTTCTAACCTCATCCATATGGCAAACGTTGCATTTGTCCAGATCTTTCCATTTAACACGGACAGGCCTATATCCAGCAGGCAGATCTTGATTTTTCGAAGACGCCAATTTCAAGGATTTTGCAAGAAGCCTGGAGTTTGATAATTCCTGACAGTATAATATATGCCTTAGCTAAGCAGGAGAAAAAGAAATAAGCAAAATATAGAATAATGCTTTCCAGTTTCCATCAAATAAGTCATTCACAGATTAAAACTTCTTAATGTGAGACTAAACAATGCGCTCACCATATTATGAGTTGGAACTCTAAGCTAAATTATATTATCAACTTACTTTAAGATCTTGTGCCAAACTATTTTTGTTTGATTGAGCAAGTCCAATAGATTTAAGACTTATTTTTTGCTAAATTTATTTTTAAAATAAAAAATATAATAGATGAAAAATCAGCAGTAAGAAGATGCTGCTATTACTAAAAGTCAGCAAAGGAGAAGCCAAAAAAGAAAACACTGGCTATCCATACAAAAGATACAACGAACTATGACAGGGTTTCACTATCATCTACCCGTTCATGTTTACACCAAAAGGATATCAGATTCTGCTCCGTACATGAGATACACATTTAAGAAAAAAACTCTAAATATTCAAAAGGGACTTCTATTCCATTTATGCACCACTGACGGCATTAAGCATCTGTTGCCTTCAATTACAACTAGATAATGGGAGAGTAGAACTATACGATATTTATAGTTAAATGGCACAGTATATTTACCAATTAATGGTATCCACCATATTCAGCTTCACTCGAAGATAGCAGTGCATTTTTATGATCTTTTTTTATAAGGCAAAATAATGTTATTAAAGTAGAGGTTGTAATGGTCTTATATGTTTATATAATGTTCGTCTTATCTTATCAAACACTTCTGAAGTCTAATCCCTTGGTACAATTTGACTCCGAAGTGTTGAATAAGGAAACAAAACAGCACATAATATAGTCACTTAAATCTTATTCAGAAGTAAAGTAAAACTGTACTAAGACAACTTCAAAGTCATTGGAGCCAATGATAGTAATATAAAACATGCTCAGATTTGCAATAATAAGACAGAACAAAAGTTGAAGGAACAGAACCACCATAAAGTGAAAATTGGGTGGAAGAGCAACTTATAATACCTTTATAAGTTTCAAAATTTCAGGATGAGAAAAGCCAAACATATGTGAACCCGATCCGAAAGTCCTTTCACTTTCACCGCCAGATATTGACTCATCAAAATTGTCAACTTGTGTCTTTCTCATCCGTTTGTAAACTTTATTCCAGGAAGCAGATGGTGTAGATCCCTTAAACTGCATAAACAAGTACACCACGCGACTAGCATTATCACTTCTCTTAACATCTAAAGGCTAAACATTAATGCCTATTCGAAAGCAAAACAAATCCTAGATAAGAAAATCAAAAACCAGATCAAGTAGGTTTTCCATGATTGCCAGCTATTTCCCTTAGAGAGAGAAAAAGGTAGCAAGCTGATGTGGTAGAGACCATAACACGTTTCTTTTATGAGCTAAAAACTAGCATGTTAAAAAGTTAAAACTAACCCCTACTAGGATAAACAACAGCACACATCTTAGCCAAGCTCTCAAGTGGACACACAACAGCATAGATACTCGAGGAATCATCAGAGATTCAACATTTCACAAGCCAGCGGTTCAAATAACTGAACAAGGATGACGATGACCAAATAAAGATAACCACATTGATTATCTCCATTGAAATCCCCGACGGCTTATATTAGTGTTGTGCAACAACACAATAAATCCTTGGTTACTTTGTTTTATATATTACTGATGGAAAGGTAGGGACTTCTAAGATTTAGATGGCAATAGTCTTTCAAAGGTCAAGCTTGAGCCTTGAATGTAAAGCTCAAACATAGCTTGAGCTCAATTTAAAAATCCAAGCAAAGCCAGACCTGTCAGGACCTCTAAGGTACTTTAAACGCCCAAGTCAAACCTGACGAGGCATGCCACAGAATTTAATCAAAAAGCCTAAGATATTTTCAATAACAAGGTGTCTTATCCATAATTTAGCAACGAAGGATACATCAGTCTGACAGGTGATTCACATATATATCATCAGAATCCAAAACCCTTCGAGGCATAAGCTCCTTGGATATGAGATGTTTATCACCCATATCAATAAATATTACACCCTCCGTCCCAATTTATGAGGCACCCTTTCCTTTTTAGTCTATCCAGAAAAGGATGTCATACTTCCTAATTGAGTAACAATTTAACTTTAAACCTCCCATTTTACCCTTAATGAGATGATTTATAGCTACAAAAGTCTGGCTTGTTTTTAGTCCACAATTTTCAATAGTCTTTCTTTATTTCTTAAATTTGTGACCAGTTGCCACATAAATAGTGAGAGAGGAAGTATTACTTCATCTGGAGAAAAACGAGACAAATACGGTTTTAAGCATTCAACTGCAGTGTCTAAACAGAAAACATAAAGTAAGAACTTATGCTCTCTCCAGTCATTCCTATGGGATCTCAAAGTGCTTGAGATAATCAATTCACATTTTAATTCAGTCCATTTCGTCTGGTCTCGTCCTTTACCTCAATCTTAGAGTATGATTGACCCTCTTTTTATCAGCAGAGCATGATTTACCGTTTTTATTCTTCGGGTATCAGTCTTGTTTTATAAGAGAGAATAGGTTAGTGTCCTTTTCATCTAATTGAAAAGCTTAATGAGCTTCAATAGATCAGTCAGTCCTTTATTACATCTACAAATAACTTCTATCCAATGCTTAAAGTTCACAAGCACTAGTACTTTGAACACAACATTTCTTAGCAACAGGTGAAAAAAGAAAAGTTCCTCTCAGATTCTGGAATGGATATGAAGAACAAGGGGCCCATTGTTTCAAAAGGGTGCTATAAAATTAATTGTGACAATAATATACTCAGTGCCTTCGCAAGTCAGATAGAAAACCATGGAACTTGACAGCAATTGAAAAACTGAATTGCAGAATCAAAGGAGAATAGAGCATATAAGTGAATGAATGAAGCAGTTAAAGAAAAAAATAATACCTGTTCTCCACTATCTGACGTAACTCTAAATAAAGGCCGTGTCCTGAAATCAGGATCTCTCAGTACCTCCATCTTATACGAGACACGTACACCGGGATCTGGCCCAATTGAGACGTAGAAGAAATGGATTAATTGTATACCAATTAATTCAAACAAAGGCACAGCAGAACTGTTGCTGGAGAGGGAAATATGAATAAATACCTGTTACCGAAGGGAACTTCCTCACAGCAGTATAGCCTTCTGGCCAGATAAATTTCTCATCTCGAAAGAGCTCTGAATCTTCTACTATTTTCCCTGTACAGGACATTTGCACAACGAAGACTGATAAAAATCGAATATTCATCAAGTGAAGAGAGAACATCAAGTCAAATTATGAGAATAGGGAATGTTACTCAACGAAATAGAGGGGGGAAATGAACACTGCAGTTTGGCAGATAATATGTTACAAAGGTTGCTTTCATGGACAAAATGACTGATTAACTTATGTCCGTAGAATCTGAAAATACCAATTAATCAACTGTTGGGACAGCTATATGCTAAAGTAGTAAAACCATATAGGATTACAGATTATCTAACTGGAGGCAAAAATCTCATGATGTAAGAAGGGTGAAGAGGATGGGGAATGGTAAATGGTTTTCTGATACATCTGGAAGAATCTCAACCTCAAGCATATAAAACACACTCAATACAATAGAATATAATTGCATTCTTTTGCTCTCCAGTAAGCATCTAAGATTTGAAAAAATACCAAGGCTAACTACTTGCAAGTCCCCCAATTCAAATGGGCAACTTCTGATATCCTCAAGCTTTCTCCTCAACCCTTCATCCTCTGAATCAGAACTGCCTTCACCTTCTTCGCTTTCAGTATTGTTATCAGCAGCGATACGATTCTGTATCCGCAGCATCCTCTTTGAGAGCTTTTGTTCAGTAAGATACCTGATCAAGAAAGTCAGAAGTATGAAATCAGTACAAACCTAGAGACCGAGCTAATACTAGGTAGGAAGATACCAAGGTACACAAACCCCAAAGGCAGCAATACAACATATACAGGTAAAAGGAAATTTCTTTGCAGCCAGAAGAAAGAAAAAGGCACAACAAATTTTTAATTTAAATTCACAACCAGGCTTTTGATTTATAAGTCAGCATGCTTCATGAAGGACAGTAGGAACCTTTGAACTCCATAAGACGAGGAAAATAATGAACAGTAGATTTTAGGCATGGATGGGTGTAACTTATCCACGTATCTGTTAACTATAGTAGAACTAAAGGCCGGAAATGAAGGCATTTTAAGGTTTGTTCTTCCAATACAATGCACATGGATCACAATGTTTTGGCTGAAAGTCCAACAATAATAGTACTAAAGGATAGAAGCAAATCATATCACATGGACATGAATATTGGTAATTATGCGTTGCTATGTTAAGCTGAGATGAAGGCTAAGAATTAAGATAAGAACCAAAGGCCTAAATTAACGCTCAACAATTCTAGCAAGAAACATATCCAATTATTCGGCTTCACTTTATTAAATATTAACAGTGTCAAGTTACCAATGAGACAACCTTATGATCTAAGGCCATGCTGAATAGTGCATAGTGGGGCCATAAAGTTCAATGCATGTGAAAAAAAAAACAATTAAAAATGCAAGAAAATACAAATACAGGAATCATGTCTTTAATCATCAAAGCTTTCACATGAGAAGAATATAATGTATGTATCAATCTTTTAAGATTCATTTCTACTAGTTTAATACAATAGCTTTTCCTATTGTAATGACAGACATAAAATGGAAAGAGCAACAATATCTAGCGAAGGACTAGACAGACGGAAAACTACAAATATAGGACATGCAAAACATTTAATTCTGGTGAAGTAACAACGAAATGACACAAAAAAATGAACTCAGATCAACAAGGCTCACATTTTTGCTTCCTCCAAACCTTGAACAAATTTTGGCTTTTTGCACTTGAGGTGAAATGAAGAAAGAAGCCCTCTCAGGAAAGAGATAACTTGCTTTAATTTAACCCTGGAATTCAATAACAAAGTTTCATAAGCCCACAACGAAGTAACTGATCATATTACTGCTTAAATAGTAAATACAACTCCAACTACATTCAAAATAAACTTCCAAATGGCACACCTAGCAAAATCATGGGTGCCAAAAAACTGCACAAGAACTGATTTTTCCCCTGAAACTTTGTTTAGACCTTTACGCCCACCAGCAAGAGATTCATCCAGAACAATAGCCGGCCACATGGCATGACCTGTATTGGCCAATAAAACCAACGAAAAATTGGATATTTTCCATTTGAGAGATTTTGACCTCACAATTGTCGCAGGAAGTAAACAACCATGCAAAATTTAGTTGCTAAAAATTTTTATCTTTGTTATTTCTTCTACTTTGAGAGCTTCTTCCTAACTGCTTATTGACTGTGTGTAACCATGTGAGTGGACATGATAAAGTTGCAAATCACACCAGAAGTTAGCAAAAGCTGAGAAAAATTCAGAAGTTGCAAATAAAGGCCATAACTTACCAGTCAGCTTGGCCCATATAATATCTCCAGACTCAAGAGCTTCGCAGTCATCCAAAGTAGCAGCTAATACAACCATCTCATCAACATCAATTCCATCAGTTTCAGGACTCGTATCAATGGATCTCAACTTCAAACGGCTCATCTCCTCAAGTGAAACAGAAAACTTGACCCTTTCATTTGATAAAAGCAAATGCTCTTCATCCCCATCTACATATTTCACCTGCATTGGACTCGAAACTTAGTTCATACACTTACCCGTCAAAGGATCAAACAAAATTTAAACGAAAAGGAGCCAGAAAATCAATTACATGATGCCGTCCAATCTCAGAGTTGTACCCAATTACACGACCAGAGTACCAATCAGCATCTAATGGCCAATACACCTATCAACAAAGACTCTACAATTAGTCTCTTGAACTGATAATATCAAAAGTACGGAACACATTCTAACCATTCTATGTTTGATCAATTCACACCTTACATTGTAGTCCAATAAATTTCTTCGGATCAACTCCTTCAAAACTCAACCTGTAAACCGCACAAACCCAAACACTTTCATACATGATAACACATACATACGAAGCATAAAATTGAACAAGGGAAAAAAAGTACCAAACCCATTTCTTGGTGCGAATTGACCCTGAGCTTTTGCTACTCAAGTGATTCTCCAAAACAGAATTTTCTTTTCGCTTCTTAATGTTGTTACCCCTAAAGTTAAAATCTTTACAGTGATTATTACTGCGATTGGTATCAATTTTATTTTTACAAGCACTATTTCGAGTTTCTCTCAAACAAGACTCATTCAACATAACACTATCATCCACTCCCAAATTTGCCAGCTCCGAACTACCCACCTTCCTCCTCTTCTTCTCCTTCTTCTTCTTATTATGCTTCACAACCACTACTTCATCATCTTCTCCCTCATTGTCCCTCTCATTCTTGACACACATATTCACTACTTCTAAAGTCCCCACCTTCCTCTTCTCCGTGTTCTTTATAACCACTTTGTCTTCTTCGCCCTCAGTTTCCCCCTGGTCTTCTCTATTGTCAGTCGTAAAATTGGCTAATTTCTGCTTCTCCTTAATCATTATAACCATTTCCTCATCTTCGCCTTTGTCTTCTCTGTCCTCATTCCATAAATTGGCTAATTTAGCTGACCGAGAAGCAAGCTTTGAATTGAACACTTTTCTCTTCTGTTTCCCCTTACTCTTTACAACCTTTTCCGTGTCTTCGCCCTCATCTTCTCTATCTCCATTCACAAAATTCCCTATTTTCACGGGCCGAAATCCTAGCTTTGAATTGCCCACTTTCTTCTTCTGCTTTTCCTTATTCTTTACAACCATTTCCTTGTCTTCGCCCTCATTTTCTCTATTGCCATTGGAGAAATTCCCTAATTTCACACTCACTTTCCTCTTCTGCTCCTCCTTATACTTTCTACCAGCTTCCTCTTCTTCGCCCTCATCTTCACCCACATCGCCATTGCAACTACCTAAGTTCACTGATCCAGACTCGTTCACTAAAGAGTCGTAAAACGAGGGTTCATCCTGTCGTTTCCTTTTACGGCGGCGAGTGTAGAAGTGAGTAACCGGTGGTTTCGTTGCGGACATTGAGTAAATGTGCTGTGTGTGTGAATAATACTTGGTGCGATCGTCGTCGGTGTCGAAATGTGGGAGGATTTTGCGAGCGGCTTTAACTTTTTTGGATCCAGTAGCGCCGCCGACGTAAGGTGAAGTAGCGGAGTAAACATCGCACAACGGAACGTATTTTAACGGCGTCACTCTATCGTCTCTATCATCGTCTACGTCATCAACCTGCTGCTGATATTGATTAGGTTTTGCGTCTCCGTCGATAGGAAACGCCATTGAATTGGGGAATACAAGTTGAATTTATTCACTAGTTTTGTGTGAAATGGGAAGATTTTGAGCTGAATTGGGATTTGGGATTGGAATTGGGATGTTTAGGGTTCGAGAGAATCGGGTATTGGAATTTGAGGGAGAGAGTGGTGTTTTTGGAGGGAGGTTTTGGGGGAAAAGGTATGGTTTCCCGCCGTAGCGGCGATACACGGCTTATTTATATGGAGGTGAAAGGGGAGGACTGTTTCACTTTTACTTGTTGCTACTATTTGTTTCATTCTTTTTGTTATAAATAAAATTTTATTTATGGTGAATGTCTATATTTAGGGAGATTCTAGGGTTTATTACTTGGTGGCTAAGTCACCCTCTCCCTATAAATAGAGGGTTCTATTTTATTGTAATTCACTCCAAATCAATGAGAATCCTCTCTCTCTACTTTTCTCTGCAATACTATTCTTCTTCTTTTATTGTTTCATAACACGTTATCAGCACGAGACTCTAACCGATTGAGTAGAAGCTTTGGGATTGAGCATAATGATTGTCAATTATTCCATGAACTTCCTTCATGATTAAATTCTGGATTTAAGGTAAGTATTTTACCGTATTTTTCTCTTGTATTCTATACTTTGATTTTAAATACAAGCAAAGACAACAAAGTTTGATTATAACTCTAATGGAGTTTGTAAGAAATTATAACCACCTGAAGTGGTAAAATTTCTATGCCTCGTCATGATCAAATTCATGTATGATTGTGGGCAAAGAATTGAAAACCCGTCCCATTGAATTTGCTTCATTCTCATTCCCTTAAGAGAATGTGATAGCAATATGTGATAAGCATGAAAGAAGACAAAATTATTACTATGAATGTATCAATGGATATGGACGTGGCAATAGACGAAATTATAATCGTTATCATTTGTGGTAATGAGAACAATAAGGATTCTCAAAATAATCTTTCACTCTGTGAAAAATATTTGTCATCGATTTGACATGAGATTTTGTAAAGCACATATAGATGATTATGGTCCATTCATGATGTGAATGTGACAACATCTGATTTATGAATACATATTCATTATTCAAAGAATATGAACGTGCTAGTGGTAGTGAATATACCGCACTCACCTCTAAAAGGAGGTTTGAGATGATATAAGAAAATAATGTCATTATTATGGCATGAATGGTCATTGGTCACGTACCTATTGTACGCCAAAATATTTTGGCATTGTGATTGTTAAAAGACAACGGTAATGCAAGAAACAGATCTTGCATATAATTTTGACCATAACCATAATGTTATAACATTCTCTTTAAAAGAGATTTCCACCGTATAGGTGTTGATGAATATGTGGTACTACAAAATTAATTGAGAACTCTGCAAGAGCCAATTATACTATTTTGGAGAAACACAATTAATTACCAATAAGGTAATGTGTTGTAGTAAGTCTCAAAGAAACTTATTCAGTTTCCAAAGTATACGCGAAAGCGGTTGATTATATTGAGACAATAAATAAAGGAAAGATTTAATATCTTCTATTACTACAACTTGTAGCGGGGTAGTATGTATATGAAAAGCTACCCGCTTTATTCTCCAATTTGTACTACATAAACAAAAGAATACCACAATGAAGTGGATATTTATTGATATAAAAACCCATATCATAATAAACTTGGAGTTTATTCATAATTGCACACATCGTGGTGTAAACCTGAAGTTTATCAATATTGATAATTTAATAATTGGTTTAGCCATGTTAATTCAAGTATGATGTGCAAAAATAAAAGAGAATTCACATGGGTAAATATTAAAGAACTAGAAAGTTCTTTATGAATTCTCTTACATTGCTTGTTCTCATTAATTAATAGACCAATTAAAATTGGGATTGAATCCCATGAATGCTGGAAATATCAAAGGTGAATATGGGCCCATTCACTTGCCATGTATACCACATAAGATGCATCTATGAGATGGTTACATGTGCGATTATTATTAACCCGCAACATGGTATTTGCGAGGTAACTTGCTCAATAATTTAATTTAGAGCATAATTTTCAGATTTCCTATTCAAGATAGTTTATCTTGATAAGTTGGTTTACATCACAGTTGGTTTAGCAAAATGATTTATTGAGTGCCTCCACTTAATAGCTAAACTATTGCTTATGAGAACAAAGTTATCTATATCAGTTTGATATACGTTATACACCAAAGTATATTATTTTCTCCCCTCACAAGTGGTTAAGGGTCAGGAACCAAATAATTCCATCTTATTATAATTGATGTGCGGTGTATATTTTGATTAACACCATAACGCACAAAGGTGGATTCTCAAAGTTGAGGAAACAAGTAAGTTTTTCTAACATGAGGGGGAGACATGATAAACAGTTGAGAAAAAGTTACGTGGAATGAATTATTATTTGTACATCTAGATCCTCGAATAAGATAATATGAACTTGAAGTTCATAAAAGGATAATTCATTTGCAATATATTGCAAAGCATGCCAGACGTATTTGCTGACCCAGAGAAAGTAACTATATTCTCATTGCAAATGTTCCTATTAAGTCCTAAAAGGACAAAGTCTATGGTACGCTTAAAGCGTATAGACAAATCGGTTTCAAATAAATTTCTTGATAAAGAAGATGATCAAATGATCAAAATGATCATAATAAAGGAGGCAAGTGATCTGGAATATCACATGACATAACACTTCATAAAATCTCAGGAGAGATTCAGGTACCTGAAAATATGAATGAAGAGATCTATATGTCATGTCTTTATGAAAATAAAGCTGGAACCGATATAAAATGTTCGTCGACGACATCTATAATAGCGCTAAATATATATATGAGGATCTTAAGTCTGAAGAAACAATTCGAATAGAATTTGGTTTCATATGAAAGACATGTAGTTCAAACACTTGAAAGTATAAAGTCAATGATATGTGCAATCAGTTTTCGATATCTTATATGTCTAGCATGACATGAAAACTTGATATGCATCTAAAATCTATTATATGGCTTATATGACTTAACAATCCCTGAAGGATCATTGCTTAAAGCATATAGAATTGATGGTCATGAAGTACTATATCCTAAATGCAATTTGTGCACATATGTATCTTGCTATAACTATAAGCATGATAATATGATAGCAAGAGTTTTCACCCCTATGTGAAGATATTGAAATGATGATTCCAACAAGATCATATGAAGACAATACATCTATCAGGGATCATGATTTCAAGGTGAAACATATTCGTTGAAGTTAATATGGCTGATATTGTTTATCAAATCTCTACCAAAGATCTTTTGAAGATGGTGCACAAGATTGGAATGCAAATGCTTACGGATGTGAATTGATGCTCTCATTAGGGGGAGTTAATACGCGTTGTACTCTTTTTCCCTTACAAGATTTTGTCCCACTGGGTTTTCCTTGCAAGGTTTTTAACGAGGCAACCAAAAGGCGTATTATTAGATATGTGTAATCTTTTTCCTTTTCTAGAATTTTTTTCCCGTTGGGTTTTCTTTTAGTTAAGGTTTTAACAAGGCACATTATCTGTTAAATAGACATTCAAGGGGGAGTGTTATAAATAGAATTGTATTTATGGTGAATGTCTATATTTAGAGAGATTCTAGGTTCATTGCTTGGTGGCTAAGTCATCCTCTCCCTATAAATAGAGGGTTTATATTCCATTGTAATTCATCCCAAATCAATAAGAATCCTCTCTCTCTACTTTTCTTTGCAATACTATTCTTCTTCTTTTATTGTTTCATAACACTTTTATTTTTATTTTTTGTTAACACAAGCTTCATCTCATTTGCATCAAATCATTTTGGATATTTTGACATATATATAGGTATTTTGTTATTTATAGTAACTAATGATGATTTCAAAATCAAACTAAGTTTGACATTGTTAAGGATGAAAAGTCTATAATGATTTTTCGAATATCATATTGTTTGGTGTGAAAAAGTTTCTAAAAATTCTTCTTACTCCTTTAGATTTGTTGTTCAATTTAATTAGAATATTTTTTATTTGAGGCATGTATAAAAAGTTAACGGCTTTTTAAAAGTAAATAAAGTATTAAAGACTGCTAAGTATAAAGAAATAAAATTAAGACGTATTCACCGTCTAAAAAGTTTTTGAATTTTTATCAATAATGTGATGGTTACTATTCTTTAGATTTAAAAGTTCGTTACGGTTTTTAAAATTCCGTTATTTCGCTCTGGTGTAGAAAGATTTGAATTTCGCGCAAATAATGTGTCATTTCCGTTTGAGATTTTCTTTATAAAGTTACTATATATTGTTTCTTTATCATTTTAAGCGTGTGTATTTCAAGGATTATTAATAGTACAATGTATGTGTAATATATACATACACACACGGCGTAAGCACAACATATGCACGCCCACAAACCCCTATATAAAGTTTTTTTATTAATTTGTAATATAACTATTGCTATCTGTGAATACTAAAATATATATCTTTTAAATCGTGTTTGTTGTGTTGAAATAAAACTTCTCCAAATAATAAGTAAATATTATTTGTTACAAGCACGTAATATTATTCTATTAAAGACACCAAACATATAGAAATAAAATCAAGACTTACTTACCATCTAAAAAGTTTTTTCTTTTTTTTAATAATATTACTGCTATTATTCTCTTGATTTAAAAGATAGTTATGAGGTATTTAAGAATTCGTTATTTTCCTACGTTGTCAAAAAAAATCAAATTTCACGTAGATGACATGTCATTTTTGTTTGAGATTTTATTGTTAAATTTACCATGTATTGTTTTCTTATTATTTTGAATGAACATATTTCAAGGATTTCATTCATTCCCCCATATCCCTTAATATTATTTCAATAGTTCGAACACAAGACTTTTGATTAATGATAGATGACCAATTAACCAACCAACCAAATTATCTGTTACAAATAAAATTTTGTTATTGCATCGAAAGAGATAAATATTTGCTAATTTGACTAACATTCAAGGGTTCATTTCACCTTAACTTTTATGGTTGTTGCTTCTCTTTTCTCTCTCTCTTTTTTTTCTTGTAATTTCAAATTTTTTAAAAAAAAGTTTGTATTTTCTGCCCTTTTATGGTTTTCTTCATTTTGGCATATAGTGTTTTTTTTCTTTGCTTATTTCTTTTTCTTTTGGGCTGACATATTTTTCATGCCATTTGCATCAAATATATATATA